GGGGGTACCAGTGTCTGAGTCATGCTGTGGAATGGGTCAGAGAAGAGAGGGGGGTAGGGGGAAGAGGGAGGTCAGGAGGGGAGCTCCTCACAGAGGGTGGGGCTTGTCAACGGGGGTCAGGTGATACTGTGAAGAATCCCAGGCAGGGAGGTAAGTTTTTGATGCTGCTTGGAAAACAGGAGCACAGTGTTTCAGGAATGTAACCTGTGGGGTAGAATGCTTCGGGTGTGCTTATTTCCTGGAGGCTGTTTTGAAGTTTTTTTTTCCTCCAAGGCTCTTGTTTTGCCTTCTCGGTTGATTCTTTTTAAGGACTCAGCCCCTTTAAGAGTGCCCTGCATGGCTGGTGCCCAAACTAAGGCTTTCTCTGCTCCTATACCCCCAAGACCCTCGGATTTTAGTGTGAGGGAGGAATGGGTGCCTGTGATCTGAATTTTTCGTTAGGACTGTCCCTGTTGCTTGGTGAATGTGACTCCTGGGCTACATAAGAGGGAATCTGGGCTTCAACCTGGGGCGCGGAATCACATTTTGCCTCTGGAGTCACCCTGTTTAACTTCCTTCAGAGCCTAAATTCGGGAGTGGGGACAGTTTGCTGAACCCCTATCAAGGAAAGGATGGTGGAAAGACATGGATGAAGGAAACAGTAGCCATGGCAGGCTTCCTGGGAACATCAGAAGACACTTTTTGCCAGCTCCCCTGTGAACTGGGCTGTGTCTTTGGGGAGGCAGTGAGGGGCGTTTATGGCTCCCGAGTTGGTTCTGAGAATTGGTGGTGGTGCTGGGAATGATTCAAACACAGGGAGGTGCAGGGCAGAGCCCCTGGTTCACGGCTGTGCAGGGAGGGAGAAGCGAGGCTGCCCTTAATAGACATTCAAAAATATTTGTTAAACCACATCTGAGCCATTTTATCAGTGGCAGAAATGCCCGAGGGTTCTGCTCTGCCAGGCACCAGTGCGGTGGTTAAGGCACTGGCTGGTACCAGTCCCTCGGCTGAGGACTCCCTCGTTTCCATCAGCTAGCCCTTACCGGTTAAGATTTAAAGGTGTCCTAGTGAAGTTTGATCCCGGCCACCAGGTGTGCTGAGCTTGTTCTTTGTTCTCTCATTCCTGCCCCCTCACCTGTTCTCATTTTGGAGCTTGAGGGAGCTCTAGGCATCATGCTCTTCCAGTTCAGAAGGGTCAGGTTTTTTGGGAACAGAGACATGATTCATTTTAGGTTTCTTGGAGATTCGACAAGAAACAAACTTCCTGCGTGTGTTTTCCAGGAAACAGGAAAAGCCAGCCGAAGGCCTTTGTGGCTCCCACTCCTGCCCTCTGAGAAACGGGAGGGCCTGGTGTCACACGCTTTTGCTCCTTTGTTTTTGAGACAGGGTTTCTCTGTGTAGCCTTGGCTGTCCCAGAACTCATTCTGTACACCAGGCTGGCCTTGTACTCATGAGATCTGGGATTAGAGGCGTGCACCACGAACACGCACTAGGCACATGCCTTTTAATCCCAGCACTCAGTCGGCACACTTTGGTATGTCTCTGTAAATTTAAGGGCAGTCTGATCTACGTAGCAAGTTCATGCTACCCAGAGCGACATGGTGAGAAAGTGTTGTCTCCCTCCTCAAGAAAAGGGCAGTAGGACCCTGAGGACCCCAGTGGCTGTGGAGGATTCCATAAAGTAGCTTCCACAGGAAGAATTGTCACACCTGCTCCTGCACTTAGTAGGAGGTCTTCAAATCCTGGGGCTATGGACTTTATGCAGTGTAGGTGAGCCTCTGGCCTCAGGCCTAGCTTGTCCAGAAAGCTGAGCTAGCCTACGGTTAAGTGTGCCCATCTGACCGCGTCCTCACCGAGAGCCACTGGTGAGTTGTTGATTGCACTTCAGAGGAGCCTTGTGGCATCAAACCTGTGTAAGCGGCGCCTCAGCCAGGGTGCCCTTCTCTCGCCTTGACCCTTGGTTTTCTTGACTTCTGGTTCTCCTCGCTGTTGCCCAGCTCTTGGTTGAGAGGCTCTGTTTTGGCAGGGCTTAGGCACTTGGGTCCCTTGGAGTCTCAACTCCACACTTGGCTGCTGGTCATGTCTCCTTTGCTTTTCTGAGTTTGGCAAGAAGCTCAAAAACATCCCTCTGGAGGGTGTGACTACATTTTGGTCAATTTGGATTGGATGTTAGGAGCACATAGGAAGGACAATCAGGAGGGGAAAGACCATTCCTGACTAAAACTCCCTAGAAATATGGGAAGGGCTGCTTTGTTTAAAAGCCTGTCAAAGGAGAAAGGGGCCATCACCCTGCCAGCCCACAGGGACCAGGGACGTAGAACTCTGGCAAGGAGTGACAAGTGGAGGCTGGTTTCTAAGGACCCAGCCGGCCACCTCTATGAAATTCCACATCTCCCCTATCTCTGAGCACTCTTAGCCTGCTTTGGCGTTTTCTGCCCGCAAAATGGGAATGCTGAGGCTGTCTCACAGCGGGCCTGAGGGGATCAGTGAGGTAGTGCATTGGGAACCTCAGGGTCACAGAGAGCTTCCTCTGGTTATTGACGATATATAAAGAGTGTCACTGAGGTGCTGTTGGGGCACTGACTACTGGGGGCCCTGGGTTGAAGAAAGAGGAGATCATTTCAACGGATGCTTGAAACATCAGTTTTGAGCTTGGAGGGGCGGCGGCTGCTGGTTGAGCAGAGTTGGGCCGGAAGCTTCGGTGGGGTTTCCCAGGCCATTCTCTTTTGGCAACAGTGTAGAGAATCTGCACAAATGCAAGCGATAAACTTGGCTCCCTGTTTACCTTGGGTTGCCTTTGAAGTTTCAGACGAGGAAAACTGCGCTTTGTAACATTTGTTATATTTGTAGCAGTGTTAGGAGGAGCACTCTCTCCGTAGAGGAGCACTCTCTCCGTAGCAGTTCGGAATCCCCGGGCCTTTCTGGGCCACAGAAGAACACAGTGATGTCTGTTCTCACATGCATTAAAACAAACTTCTCCCTCATCAGTACAAGTTCAGAGAGTCAGGACAGGTCACAAAGAAGACACTTGTCATGTATATGTCAGACTTGTCTAAATTATGTGAAGACAGTTACAGGAGAGAAAGAGCAACAGAAAACTCAGTTTTAAAACCGAACAAGATGGGCGTTTGTAGTCATTAGGAAAATGCCTGTTAAGACTATTGCAAACAAATGGTTGAAATTTCAAAATAACAACAAATCCTGATGAATAATAGCAGAGATGTAGATACACACGCTTTATTGTGTACTGCTGATGAAGCTGTTAGCTCAGCCACATTGAACTTTAGAAGTACCAGTTAGGGAGGGGTGCTGGGACCAGGACATGAGGGAATGGGCCACTATCAGGATTTAAAGTGAATAAATTGTCAAAAATAAAAAATTAGATTAAATTTAAAAAAAAAAAGTACCAGTTAATGCTGAACACATCCTGTGACTTGCCAACTACACTCACTTCCCTGAAATGATACATATCCTCAACAAGATGAACATAAACACTCATCAAAAGCATCTTGGGAGTGCTCGCTCCCACAGCACTATAACTAAAATCAACGATACAGAGAAGATTAGCATGGTCTATGCAAAGATGACATGCAAATTCGTGAATCATTCCCCTGAGGGGTGCAGCCTTGCCAGTCCACAGAGGAAGACAATGCAACCAGTCCTGATGAGACCTGATAGGCTAGGGCCAGATAGAAGGGGAAGAGGACCTCCTCTATCAGTGGCCTAGGGGAGGGGCCTAGAGGGAGAAGAGGGAAGGGGAGTGGAATTGGGAGGAGACGAGGGAGGGGCCACAGCCGGGACACAAATTGAATAAATTGTAATAAATTATAATAACAAAAAAAGAAAAAAAAAGCATCTGGGAGACTCGTCATAAATAGGGCTGATTAGAAACAATCCAAGTAGGTCAAAGGTGGCTGTGAGATAGTATATGGAGTCTACTCGGCATCAACAAAGAAAGACAGCTGCTATCCAGAACAGACAAATTGTATAGATGCCATAACAGAAGTAAGTCAGATAGAACTGCAAATTACATTACTTCAGTTATACAAAGCTCAGAACTAGGCAGGTGATAGAAGCCAGGACAGGGCAGAGTGAGGCAAGGAAGAACTGAGGAAGGAACGTCCAGTCCTGGTGTTTTTTCTCTGTCTCTGATCGAGGTGTTGACAGGTATTTTTGTTTGTGAGAATTCATTAAGATAAACATTTATTTAAGTGTTAGGGTCTTTACTCTGATTGTGCTAATTGTTTTGGGTTTAAAGCATATAGATTAAATTTTAAAAAGTAAAACCATTTTGAATTATTTTAAGGACAGTTTGTAAAGAGAAGAAAAACTAACTGGTTTGAACAGACTAGCTCTTAGAAAACAGAATAAAACAAAACAACAACAAAAACAAAAACAACCAACCAAACAAACAAAAAACCCAAATGCTTGTGAGATTGTGCTGGCAAGTTTTATTTCAACTCGTCACGAGCTAGACTCATCTGAAAGGAGGGAGCCTCAACTGAGAAAATGCCTCATCCGATCAGGCTGTAAGGTATTTTCTCAGTTAGTGACTGATGTGGGAGGGCTCCGTGCATTGTGGGTGGGGCTGTTCCTTCGTTGGTTGTCTTGGGTTCTGTGAGAAAGCAGGCTGGGCAAACCATGGTGAGCAAGCCAGTGAGTAGCACTTCTTTCTCCACAGCCTCGGCAGTGGCTCCTGCCTCTGGGTTCCTGCCCTCTTTGGGTTCCTGCCCTGACTCCATTCAAATAAGCCAAATAAACCCTTCCCCCTACCCCGACCCCAGGTTGCTTTTGGTCATGGTGTTTTGTCATGGCAATAAAAACCCTAACTAAGAGATCAATTAATGTTTAGGAAGCTCTTTTTAATTGGTGTTTCAAAAATGGTTCAAATCTTCAGGCCTTGCTCCGATTTCCAGGAAGCCGCTAAGACTAAGAAGCCATATCAGGGACTTAAAAAGATTTCTACTTTCCATAAAATTGGCAGACAGTTACATTTCCTGGTTTTGCCAGGAGCCTGGGTCTGCCAGTTAAGTTTATAACCCCCATTCTCATTTTTATCCCCATCAGTTAGACATTAATTACACGTCTGTGCAAAGACGGACCTTGTTTTCTTTGAACTCACCATTGTTTCCATTAAGGTCTTCTAAAGGTCGGCCAGACTAGTAGCTCAGTTCTCCCTTTGCTCTCCAGAGCAGCTGTGCGGAAGGCAAAACTTTAAATGAGAAAGGTGGAAGTTGTTTTCTGTTCATTTAGCTGTTGGTTAGCTGAATATTCTATGAACCTACCCACTCCTTCAGACTGCTCTTGGTGGTAATTCCTCCCCTGGTCATTAAGTTGCTTTCAAGAATGAAGTGGTTTTGTCACTTGCCTTAGATAGGCGTTTAAACCAACATCTTTTTTTTTTTTTTATAGGACAGTGAGAGAGCTCTGCTGCAGGGGACTTCCTTGTTTTGGTCCATTCTCAATTCAGCCTTGGCTGAATGGTTGGAGGGCAAGCCTGTAGCTTAGGAGAGCATCACAGAGGCTTGGAGCTTTGTGTCCCAAGCATGGCAAGAACAGGCCACCCTGCCCACCGAGAGGCATAGTCCAATGGTAGAGAGTAAGGAAGGAAATGACTTCCCATGCCTGTTTGTGGCTCCATTCCCCTTACTCTCTGTGGGTGGAAGATAGCCACTGGGACAAGCTGGCCAACATGAGCGGGTGGGAGTATAATTAGCTCTTCCATCTGGGAATATTGTACTTTACGTAAAAAAATGGGAGGGGCATGATCTTCCAGAAGGGCAGCAAATAGTTGCAAGCAGTGTAATCTTCCATAACAGAAAGCTATATTTAATTCAGAAAGGTTTAATGACTGCTATGCCAGTGCTGAAACTGTTTTTAGAATTGATTAAAGTGCATTCTGGGTTTCATTTGGAAAAGGTTAGGTCTCAGAAATCTGCCTAGATTTGGAAAACAAGGTCTACCCTTTACGCAGGACTGATTAATCTTTCATGAGCTGGAGAGCTGTACCCACAGCTTGGTAACTTTCCATTCATTGTTATTAAGAGTCCAAATCTGCATTTTAACCAAGGCATCCTGTTTCTTGGGGCTGGAAATGTAACTCAGTGACGTACCGACTCAGCATGTGCCTACATTCCCCCATTCCCCCCTTCCCCTGGCAAAAGAAGAACCAACCAACCATAGTTGTATTTGTTACTCTCTTGGCCTTCATGTCTGGATTTTCCATGTGCTCTTAGGAGTCAAGTAATCTTGTTTAATTGCCTACGTTGATATGGTCCTTCCACCAGCTAGCTAGAGGTGGATAGTGCTGTCAATGAAGGACGAAGGTGGAGGATGGGGTGATGTAGCAATGGGCCAAGTGCCTGCTCCTCCAGCCCCAGAACCTAAATTTGATCCCCAGCACCCACACAAAAGCCAGGCTTCTGAGTCTTATCACTGGGAAGGTGGAGATGGAAGGGTCTCTGGGGCTAGCTGGCTGTCAAGTCTGGCCAAGTGTGTGAGCTTCACATTCAGTAAGAGACCCTGTTCCCCCCAAACAGACAAACAAAAGCAAAAACAAGGTGGAAAGTGAAGAAGACACCCAACACGGACCTAGTCTCCACATGCGTTCATACTCACACATGAACACATACACATATATGCACACATACACGTAAACACACAGGCCTTCTGATGGAAATAGCATATTAGAGGACCTAACAAATCCTCCCTGACAGTTTTCTTTAAAAAAATAAAAATAAATAAAGATTGCTAAAAGAACCTCTATCCCCTGTGGCTACTTGTCTAGCCATGGTGTCAGCTCCACCATATTTGGTCACTGTTGATAGCCAGCCCTTGGACTCTTTCTTCTTCTGTGCTATTTGCAGACAGTTTCAAGGACTGCAAAAAACACTTTCAGAGTACCATCAGAGAGAGAGCAAGATTTGGTTTTGAAGGTTCCTGCGTTCACAGAATTACTCCAGGGTTCATAGGCCGGGGTGGTGACTGACATGGCAGGATGGCACTGTGTCAGGGCCACGGACAGGGAGAAATCTGTGGATGAGGATGTCGTCCTAAAGCACATGGCTGTTGGCAACTTGCCTCCAGCAAATGCAGGACACGCATAAATGCTTCCCAGGTTTTCATCTTGCTGCTGTGGCTGAACGGTTAGAGGGCAAGCTTGGAGCTTAAGAGGGGGAAACATGCTGTGAGGATCATGGAGGCTTGGAGCTTTGTGTCCCAAGCATGGCAAGACCAGGGAGAAGGTCACCGCCGTGCTGCCAGCTTCGCCCACTCCCATGCTTTAGACTTCACCATCAGGCCCTCGGCTCAGGAGGACACCCCCTCTATTCCAGCTGCTAGCAACACCTCGAAATGTTTGTGTCTGTGTTCTCACTGCCCCTCTTTAGGGTCTGTGTTTTCCTTACTCCCCTCCAAGTCTGGCTGGGTCTCAGGGTTGAGTTTACGAGATGAAGAACATAAACTAAGAAAAAAAAAAGCTGAATTTGCCAAAACAGTCTTCATTAGAGGCTTTCTACCTAACCATTTTGGAAGTGAGAAGCCACTCCCAGCATGGTGATACATGCATGTAATTGTTCTACTCTGGACAGAGACGAGGACGGGAGTGGAATATTGCAAATTCAAGTCCAGCCTGCTAAACATAGCAAGTTCTGAGTAACCGGGGCTATACTGTGGGACCTTAATCTCAAAAAACAAAACAAATGAACAGGAGGCTTAATGGTCTTTATACCCAGTGGGAAATCATTTTTGGGATTCATTAAATCTTCATTTAGCTCCTCAGTGGGTGTGTGCTCAGGGCACCCTGGGGTGTCTGACCTAGTACTGAGCCTCATAGTAAACCTGTACATTAATGAACAGGGGGTTCCCAGTGTGCGCCAAGATCTGCCCACAGGCATGGGACTAGAAATGGGCCAGAGCTGGCAGAAGGCGTGCAGCGGAATGGGCAGGTTTCCATGTCACAGAGAATATGGGTGTACAATTGCATGCAGTATGAGGCTCAGAACCTGAGTGACCCCATCAGTAACTGCCATCTCTGTGAGTTTGCAGTGGGGTAGTGATTGGGAACTCTAGTGGGGGGCAAGTTGGCCATTCCTGCCATTGCCTCATCCAGACCTTTGTCTGAGGCGAGGCCAGCTACTTAGGGAGTAGCCTAGAATCAGCGCTTTAATCTCATGAGAATCTGGAGGTCTGACTTCCAAAGCGGCTGGGCCTGTCACTGCCACCTGCCTGGGTGCTAAGATTACAGGCGTGTGCCACCTCGCCCAGCTGTATTTCCTGTTTTAATTAAGATGCATGGAGTTTCAGGGCTGGAGAAATTGCTCAACAGTTAAGAGCATTTGTTACTCTTAGCGAAGACCTGGGTTTGATTCACAGCACCCACATGATGGCTCACGACCATCCATAACTCCAATTCTAGGAGAGCTGATGTGCTCTTCTGACCTCTGAAGGAACCAAACCTCCACATGTGGTGCACATACGTATATGCGGGCAAAACACTCACACGTAAAATAAAATTAACGAATTGAATAAATAAAATAAAAGAAAATGAACCAGGTTTATCTAGTTTTGAAAGTTGCCTTAGGTGTTCTGGAACAAAGTTACGCTAACGCTTGTCAGTT